GATTCACCTTGCGCGGCCCGGCGGCCGAGCGCGTCGGGGAATTGGCACTCTTCTACCGTCTAACCGACCTGGGACGCTTTCCCTCGGGGGCTCCGGAGCTGCAGGACCCGCTGAGCCCTGCGAGTATCACGGGTTCCGAGGCCCTGGATGAGTGGGAGACCTCGAAGCCATGCTCCAAAGAAGGCGCTGTCAGATGCCTACAGTGTGCCTCAAATGCACACTGCTTGGAGGCCTCAGAGGCATGCACCAAGGGTACCAACAGCTGGTCTGCAGGAGATTCAGATCCCTCAGCTGTCCAGAAGTCCTGGGAAGAAGCAGTCTTACACAGTAAGGCCAGCTCTGGGGACATGGCTTCTGCCCCTAGTTCACCCGCTCCCAGAGGGAGGACTGTCAGCCCCCTCAGCCCAGAGGTCACGGAGCTAGACTTTGAAACTAACATCTTTTGCCCTCCTCCTCTGTACTATACTCACCTGACTCAGGAAAAGACACCCCCTGCCAGGGTTGAAATCACTATCGAGCCTCAGAGAAACGGACCTGAGGAGATGGATAGCATTTTCCCTGACACAAAACTTGTAGGTCCTCCCATACATCCGGTGAAACATACAAGATCTGCAGCGGGGGAGAGCCCTCCAGTACTTGTAAATCATCCACAGATGCAGGGTCCAGGTGCAGTCAATGAGGTTGCATGTCCCCCTCAGACTGAACAAAGTACAGCCAATGCAATAAGACAGCTGCCGCTGTTGAATGCTTTGCTGATTGAGCTTTCCTTGCTTTGTAACCAGCCCGTGGCAAGTCCCACTCAGGTTCACCCCCACTTAGCCTGGTTGTACAGAGGTGACGAGAAAGCGCCAGACCCTTCGGTCAAGACTACATCTCTGCCAGAATCAAAGAGCAACAAACTTTCCGTTAGAGGAAATGAAAAGCTCGGGAGTGTTCCGTCTAAAAAGAACCCTGATGGTAAACGTTCAGAGATCAGTGGTAACCCTCCACCGAGGGTTACAAAGGGGAAGCTGCTTTATGGCTTAACAAATACACTAAGACTGCGTTTAAAGCAAACAAACCCTGACATGCTGGCTGTACACGAAAAGAGAGAGCAGTTTAGAAAATCACAAATACAAGCCATGGGGCCAAAATGCCGAGTCCAGCCAAGGAAAGGGAAAGCACCAGGCTTGGCAGCACAAAGCCAGATGCCACCACAGCCCCCCCAGGATAAGCTTTCGGGCTCAAATGGGTCTTTTGCTGAAGGTAGTGATACTTCAAGGCAAATCAGTGCATGTCTTGATGAGTCAAGTACAACTAAAGAAATGAAATGGAGCCATGCTGTTAAAAAAGAAACCGTTGAGCACAGTGAAAACAGAAGCAGCAACGCTTGCTTGGAAGCAGGTGGGTGTCCTGCAGATTCCGTTATTCCAGAGAGAGCTCCTCACTCAAATATTCTGGGAGGAATGTCAGAAGTACAAGTCCAAAGCCCAGGGCTTTCCCGACAGGATCCTACTGTTGACAAAACTGTAGATGACGGGAAAGATGCTAGGCAAGTCAGAGGCGCAGACGTTGTGACTGCTGATACAGGTGACAGCAGACCACCCAGTAGAAACAGTTCTTGTGTGAGCATCTCAGAGCTACAGTACCAGGGTGAGTTTGCCAGCCCTTGCTATTCTGAAGACTTCTGCATGACTGAGAATAACAGCAGAAGTCTGCTGGCTCCCAGCTCCAGCTCAGGGGCAGAACATGTCCACCATGGTTCCCAGACAAGCAAGTCAAGCGAGGCTCGGTTGTCCACAAGGAAAAGCCGCAGTGGAGTGAGCCCTGTGCTTAGCCCTCCCTTCTCTGCTGGCTCGCCGGTGTGCTCACACAAACGATCTCTTGTACTGAAGACTCCCCACAGGATTCTGGAGGACACCTCCAGTAGCTCCACCAGTGACTTTTCAGCACAGTGGACAAATGAAAAGGAGAACCAGGCAGACTCTCTGAGTGCAGGTAGTTCAAAGGTCATGGGGACAGGTTGGGACAGCTCCACTCGGCTTAAAGTAGGAGCTGGTCGCAAGTCCTCTGAGAAAAGCCAGTCACCGAGGACATCTCAAGTGAGTTCTTACGAGCCATCAAATTTGTCCGAGCTAGAACTCAAGGGCTTAGACAACAGTGCATCAGCAGACTTCCAAGAAGAGGAAGATGACCTTGGGTCACTGAATATCTCCAAACAGTGCAGAGATATCTGCGAATTAGTAATAAACAAACTTCCAGGATATACCGTGTGAAAGTATGCTGCTTTAGAAAACTAGGCTATAACTGATGAGTGCTGATACTGAAGAGATGTAATACTCATACTAAACCTTAGTATATAACTTATGTGGTAGTTGTTTTAGGAAATGTAGATAGTTTGTCATTGATGTTTAGTGTCTTTTCCTTCAAGCTGATTATACTCTCAAGTTCCTGTTAAACTTATGAATGATTCCTGTGTAAGATGCTTAAGATTAAAAGTATGTCTGTGTACTCTGTGAAAGTGTTGTCCTGCAGTGTAGATTATTCTAAAGTTGGCGTTTCATGCACCATTGTAAAGAGAAGAGCTCGTTAATGAGCTCAGCACCAGTTCTTAATGGGACTAGATCTGGTAACAGATGGATGTGTTAGAGTGTGAGTTACAGGAAGGGATTTGTGATTTACTGCTGCTAAGAGCTTTTGGTTTACAGACTTTCATAACACCCTGTCTTTTTATTATTTAATCTCCCTTTAATATGACTCCATTAACACTTACTTGAGCTTGTGTTCCTTGATAAGAAATCCTGTCTTGTTTTCCACACCAGTTTACCTTAGTTTTGTTTGTTTGTTTGTTTGTTTGTTTAATGAAGTTGCTGAATAAGAGCCTTGGCAGTTAAAATGCTTACTGTAGCACTAACACTAACAAGAAGTGTAGAAACTCCCTAATGGAGACATGTTAGGGTAGTATTTTACTTCTGCTGAGCATAAACAGCCTTCAAGTATACAAAAGCATTATGAGAGAACAAAGTAAGGCTTCATCCTGTATAGTTTTGTGAATAGGAGTTTAATTATGTCGTGTTTTCAGGTTGTTTAATGTTTATAACGTGGGAAAGCTGGTTTCCATATACCCTAGTCATCAGTTCTGTATGATAGTCTTTCATTGTGTTCAGGTATTTGTAGGCATTTTCATATAGCTGAGTTATACTATAACTTTTAGACTTTTTAATGTGGTTGATGTTTTGGCACCTGTGAGGTAAAGTCCTGATTTTCCTTTTATTACATAAATTATTATAAAAAATTCCATAATCATGTGGGCATGTTCCGATTGATTATGATAGGAGCTAAGATTTACAGCCACGATGAGAAGAGGTCATTCTCCCTTGGGGATCATTGTGAATAAAAGAGCAATGATGGGAATGAGGTTGCCTTTCCTGGGAGAGAGAGGGGCATCTTGAGGATAATGTTATGTTCATGTAACAGTGCTATAAAGAAAAAAGTTCCAGACTGTAGAGAGACTCAAAGTCCAAGTACACAGCCAAGTGATGGGAGATAGGAACAGTACAGCAATGGGCTGTGAGTGAACACCAGTTAACAGTCACAGCCCCTGAGTATTGTAAAATACTGGCAGTAATTATTCAGAGTTATGGAAATTAAGTGTGGAAATGGAAAAGGACTTTATGGGTACAGTCTGATTTCTCATTGTTTGTAAATAGAAAATTCATGTTGTATTTTGCATTTGTGAGACATAGCTTGGTATTCAAACATGAACTATGCAAATTGTTTAATGGCAGTGTTTCTCATGAAAGAGACAAAAATGTAAGTGCTGGAAGAATCATCAAAGACAGTTTGAATGAGAAACAACTCCCAGAAGTTAATGTATTTGAACACTTGGTCCTTGTTTTATAGCATTGTCTGGGAGGTTATGGAACCTTTTGGAGGAGGAGCCTTGCAGGAGGAAGTGAGTCAGTGCACCAGGAACTTTGAGAGTATATAGCTTTGTCCGGCTTCTTGTTCTCTCTCTCTGTTTCCTGTGTGAGGATAAAACGTGACCACCTAGCTTCCTGCTCCAACAGGAGCTTTCCCTTCCTACTTCCCTGCCTCCCCCACATTAAACTCAATCTCCTTAACTTGTTTTGGTCATATTTTATCATAGCAACAGAAAGCAACTATCACAGACAGTATTCTTTAGAATCATATATTGTTATTTAATCAGTATTTATTATTTGGGATGTAAGCCCTCTGTGATGAGACTAGGTGAGGAAATGACTTCCCAGTGCGAAGGGTGCAAGGGTGTAAGAGCTGAGACATTGCCAAGTGGGACAGGGTCAGACCAGCTCCCTTTGAGCTGCTCCAGGGGGAGGCCTGTCTCTAAAATTGTGGCTCATAGTGTGACTCTAAGGGAGATGCTGTTACCATGTATGTAACTCACCTGTCCTCCAATGTGGCCGTGAGTTTTAACTCTTTAAGCTTTTGGCTTAGTTTTTAAAGCCTTTCATAGTTGGTGTTATTTATGGAGACTGATTGTAGCCTACATGATTAAAATTACTGGAACATGAAATCTAGTTTTAGGATCACAGTAGAGCTGAACCATTGTAGTCCTGCTTTTTAAATGGGTTGGATAGGGAAACTGCTGCCAGGTGAATGTGCCAGGATCTAAAGCAGCATTGAGCGTGGCACCCAGTGCCTTGGATGTGTCAGGCAAGTGCGCTGTCTTCGAGTGGCACACTCAGCCCTTGGGACAAAGCTTGAGAAGCAAAGTGAGCCACAAAAATAGTGTGGCTCTATTTGCAACTTAGGAGGCAGCTGAGTATTAAGTTCTTTGATCTGTTGCTGCAGACTTACAGAGGTCTGGACACACCGAATGTCTCCCCTAGTTGAGATGTCCGTTGGTGATGGCTTCTCCATATAGGAAGAACATAATGTCATGAACTTCTGTCATGCCCCCAGTTGAGAGCCACCCATTCACATCTTGATTTGTGGTTTTCTTTATGTACAAGAGTCAATTGTTACAGAATTAGACTTAGGGACTAGACTTTTGTTTGCAACAAATGTACAGGTCAAGACTGGAAATTTAAAATGACTTTTTAATTATCACATTTTTATTGGCAAGGTGAAGAAATGTGGTAACAAAGCAACATAAACAAGATGGGCAGTGTTTAAAATATGTTGAGTTAAACTGTTCTTGGCACCAAAGAGCAGTCATTTTATGTTTTCATTTGCATTACAGTACACAGAGCTGTGCAGAATGGCACTCTATGAGCTAGGACTTGTGAGCTGTGTCTCATTTTAACCCAAAACAATTCAGTGAGAAGTCACTTGGTCAAGAACCAACATTCTCTCTGCTTGGCTTCCTCCCTGCCTGTGCCAGGCACAAACACTTTGGGAGGAGTGCCATTGGACTGCAGGGAGATATGTCCTTGTTCTTTAAACAGTACTTATGTCTATCAGAATACATATCCATTGTAGAAAAAAATAAGCCCAGGAAACTCAGAGAAGAGTTTTGCTCTCATTGTAGAGGAAAGGGTATAGGTCCTTCCTCAAATTCCATTGAACTAGCAGGAGCAGTATGAAATTAAGAATTAACCCATAGAGGCCCAGAAAATTAAGGAAAAGAACAGGTTGGAAGTGTAGCTGCTCAGTGGTAAACTGTCTGCCTACCCTGTGTATGGAGACTGGGTTTTGTCCAGAGTACTGAATAAGATCATGTTTGGGTCAGTGAGATGGTTGGCTCAGGGGGTAAAGGCACTTGCTGACAAACCTGACTACCAAGTTTGACCCTTGGGAACCACATGATGGGAAGAGAAGATTCCCAACAGTTGTCCTCTGACCACCACACATATGCCTTGATGTGTCCATTCCTCCTCACACCCACCTTCACAAACTCAATAAACTTTTTTTTTATATTTTATTTTCCAGTTTAAATTTAGATAAGAAACGAGGTTGCTTCACAAGTCAGATCCAGGTCCCTCTCCCTTTCCCTCCCCTCCTCCGGTGCCCTCCCCCCAACCCCCGTTATCCCCCTCATTCCCCCAGGGAGGGTGAGGCCCTCCATGGGGGTGTCGATAGTCTGTCATTTCATATAGGGCAGGGCCTAGACCCTTCCCCAAGAGTTCAGGGTGAGAGTGCACCTCACATTGTTCTATGGGAGTCCAGAGTCCGTGTGTATACTTGGGATGGGTACTGATCTGCTGCCCAAGGCTCAGTAGATTCCCTAGGCCTCCTCACTGACACCCAGATTCAGGGGGTCTTGATCAGTCCCATGCTGGATTCCCAGGCTGATGCCTGGGATTCAAGAGTTAACCTTTGTCTGGTCAGCCTCACTGACCCAAACATGATCCTGTTCTCCAGGGGTAGCTGAATCCTGGTGTACAGCACAAGGAGGGAAGGGCTTGTCTAGTTTTGGTAGGAGGTCCCTACAGGAGAGCAGTCTCAGTGTCGTCACCCAGCAGGAGGAAGCTCCGGAGAAAGCTAGTTTTTGTATAAACTGGTCAATCATTTGTAAACACTTGGAACAGAGGGAGGCTTTGCCATTCCTCCAATCCTCACTTGGAGGAATTTTGCCAGTTCCCATGAGCTGTGCCCATGTTAAAGATACATGTTCATTCAGAGCTTCCTTGACACTTCTGTGGCTTCTATAGCCATGACACTCGAAACGATTGACCACTTCTGTGATCATAATTCCCTTGGAAGTCACTTGGCTTGGGATTTTGTGAGTTCACAGTCACAGGTCATTTTCTCTGCTTCATATTTTGATGGTTACATGGAGAGAAATGTCCCCCTTGAATTCAAAGGGATGCAGACCTTTCAGGTATTACTATGTCCTCTGTGTGTGTTGACAGAACTGGGTCATCTCGAGGCTTGGAAGGACAATGCAGAGGTGATCCAGGATAGCAGCTTCCTTGGTTTCCCAAGGAATGAGCAGAGACCAGCACTTGTTTGGTTTGTCATCTTCAGGTCCCCCAGACATCACCTACCCTCTGAATTTCCTCTAGGATGTTATGTAATCTGACTTTTCCAGAAGATGGAAAGATGTTATGGCAGACAACTGTGCTGACATATGGCACCTCTTCTGAAGCACCAGATAACTGGGACACTTTGATCCCCATGCTTCAAAGAGTGTGGCCATAGACCTCATTTAGCACTGAGGATCTCGAGGAAGAGTGGTCTACACAGAGAACACTTGCACCTGGATTTAAACTTCAGCATTCTCCTTCTAGGCAGCTGCTGTTTTATGCGCATTTTAAGGAACAGGAGTATAAAGGAGCATTCCCAGAACACAGACCCATGGACCCTGTGAGCCCAGCCACTTGCTTTTATTATGTAATATCTCAGATGTTCAGGAGAATAACACCACAAACTCCTGTGTGTACGTCACCGGGTTTGACCCAGTGTTGACTCTGTATGTGAGTGCTTGCCTCTACCCTCCTTCCTCTCAAAAACCAGACACCAGACAGTACCCCTTCTTATCCACTTTTCTCTCCTTTTCAATGAGTAGCGTTACTCTGGAATTGTGTCTCCTCTCCA